CCCCTCAGCCTCTGTCACCTTATCCTGACAGTCTTGCCCATCTTCCTCTCTCCCTGTCTCTGTCTTGTCTAGCGGTGGGCCTGAGCAGTTGTCCTGAACCAGCTGTACCCAGTAACGGGGTGAAGACCGGAGAGCGCTACTTGGTGAACGATGTGGTCTCTTTCCAGTGTGAGCCAGGATATGCCCTCCAGGTACCGCCCCTACCCCACCAAAACCCCAGAACAGGGAGCAGGCGTCCCCTGAGTTCGTTACCCTCTCCTGAACCAATAGAGCTCCATCCATCAAGGATGGGTGTAGCCTCCATTTCCCCTGGGGATAGTTATCCACTCCTGGAATGCTTCTCACAAAAACAAACTTTGTTGATGGTGAGGACCCTGGACAATCCAGCCTGAAATGTGTTCCTGCAAAGTCGGCTTTGATTGGACTTAGGAAAATTTAATTTCCCTTTGAGGGCCATGAGGGAATTTAGTAATTAGAGGAAACTCGCAAGGAAACCTCCTGTAATGAGAATTCTTTAGTAATGGTTGTTAGTAAGTGGTCTCTCCCGCACCCAGATCTCCCTCCTTCTGTCTTACCTCAAATCCCAAGGTGATCCCATGTGTCTGTATGTCTTGTCTCTTAATGTGAGGCTGAGAGCAAGCCCCTGTTCTGGGTTATGTGTGTAACTGTGGCCCTGGGGACCACTAGCCCACTACTGTTCTGACTCTCCAGGGCCATGCCCACATCTCCTGCATGCCTGGAACTGTGCGCCGATGGAACTACCCTCCTCCACTCTGCATCGGTAAGAACCGGACTTTGAAATCCACTCAAGCCCAAATCCTCAAGGATCAGAGCTCTCTGCTGTATTGCTGAGTTCGAGTTCAAGTCAAAAGAAAAGTCGGTGTTCTGGATTTGTTCCAAGTCAGTAGTTTCTGAACGACAATTTTGTCATTCCTAATTCTCATTCAAAGCTGCCCTGACATCTGGAAGGTTCTGCCCACTAACTGAAAAATCACGAGAAGGTTGCCCACTTGAAAACATCATGAGGGCCACAGTGAGCCACATATCCAGCCAGACCCCAGAAGGCATTTTTAGGCACATTGGGCTTATCCCATGACTATGTCAAAGTCCAGACTGATAAACCTGCCTGTAGTGTCATAGGTTGCACAGAAAATAAGGACTTGGTGTGGTTTCACTGTTTAGCCCATGCTGGGAAATGTGGAAATAAACAGAAATCAGGGAAAGACAGGGGTATTTCAGAACATTTGGGTCAGGTCAAGAAGCAAGAAACAAACAGCAATTGGGTCTCTACTAAACACCAGACTCCAAGCAATGTGTTTCCCATTGCAGCCCTCCAGTGGGAATTCATAGCGGTGTGTGTGTGTGTGTGTGTGTGTGTGTGTGTGTGTGTGTGTGTGTGTGTGTGTGTGTGTGTGTGTTGTACATAATTGGTGCAGATGTGTGTGCCTGTGTGTGCCTTTCTCGATCACTCTGCATGTCTTTTGAGATAGGGTCTCTCCCTAAACCTGGAGCTCACCTGTTGAGCTAGGTTGTCTGGCCAATGACCTCTAAGAGTCCTCCCCTCCCTGGCCCTCAGCACTCAGATTACAGGTATATCCCTGCACCTTGGCTTTTATGTGGATGCTGGACATCCAAACTCAGGTCCTCACACTCACACAGCAAGTATTTTACCAAACGAGTCATCTTCCCCCCAG